GACATGGGGACACCGGGGACACCGAGGGGGACACCGGGGGGGGGGTCCCAGGGGTGACAGGGAGGTGACACGGGGGACCCAGAGGTGACACAGGGGCTGCCCAGGGTGACACGGGGGTGACATCAGGGCTCCCGGGGCCGGTTTGGGGTATTTTGGGCGGTTTTGGGGCAGTTTTGGGGTCCTGGGGTGGTTTTGGGGTGTTTGGGGCAGTTTTGGGGCAGTTTTTTGGGTATTTGGGGCAGTTTTGGGTGTTTGGGGCGGTTTTGGGGCAGTTTTGGGGTCCCGGGGTGGTTTTGGTGTCCTGGGGCAGTTTTGGGGTGTTTGGGGCAGTTTTGGGGTGTTTGGGGCAGTTTTGGGGGCAGTTTTTTGGGTATTTGGGGCGGTTTTGGGGTGTTTGAGGCACTTTTGGGGTGTTTGGGGGCAGTTTTGGGGTGGTTTTGGGGCAGTTTTTTGGGTATTTGGGGCGGTTTCGGGGTGTTTGGGGCGGTTTCGGGGTGTTTGGGGCGGTTTCGGGGTGCCCCTTACCCTGAGGAACACGGGCAGCGTGCGGCAGCGCGGGGTCCCCCCGTTGGGGACCTCCAGGGACAGGTTCCGGGTGGGGGAGGGGGGCGCCCCCCCCGGGCCCCCCCCCAGGAACAGCGCGCGCCGCGCCCCCCCCGCCTTGGCCCCGTCCACGCTCAGCTCCAGCGCCAGCCCTGGGGAGGGGACACCGCGGGGACACCGCGGGGACACGTCAGGGACAGCCCCGTGTCCCCACCCTGTCCCCACGGCTGCTGTGCCACCCTTGGGGACACCGCGGGGACACAGGGACACGACCACCGGGGTGTCCCCGAGCTGCGTGTCCCCTCCTGGGGTGTCCCCATTTGTCCCCTCCATTGGTCCCCGCGATGTCCCCTTTGTTCCCCACCCCGTGTCCCCTGTCCCCTCCTCTGTCCCCCCGTGTCCCCTGTCCCCCCGTGTCCCCTGTCCCCTCCCCTGCCTCACTGCTCTCTGCCCCGTTACCTCGTGCCCTCCCAGATCCTGCCCTACATCGATGGATTCCGGCACGTCCAGAAGATTTCGGCGGAGGCCGACGTGGAGCTGAACCTGGTGCGCATCGCCGTGCAGAACCTGCTGTGAGTGCCTGCAGGGGCTGCTCAGCCCCAGGAGGGGGGTGCTGCCTGGGAGCACCTCTCACCTTTCCCTGTCCATCTGCAGGTACTACGGGGTTGTCACACTTGTCTCCATACTCCAGGTGGGTCGGGCCGTGGGGCTGGGAGCGGGATTTGGGCAGTGCCTGGGAGGGTGAACTGCAAGGTTGGAGTGGGCTGGGCCTGTCTCAGAGCTGCAGCTGAGCAGGGCTGCTTTTCCATCATCCTCCAGTACTCCAATGTCTACTGCACCACACCGAAGGTCCAGGACCTGGTGGATGACAAGTGCCTGCAGGAAGAGTGTCTGTCCTATGTCACCAAACAAGGTACAGTGACCCTGCCTGGGGATGCTGGCCCAGGCTGGGGGACAGGGCAGCTGAATGGTGACTTGTCCTTGCAGGCCACAAGCGAGCCAGCCTCAGGGATGTCTTCCAGCTGTACTGCGGGCTGAGCCCTGGCACCACCGTGCGAGACCTCATCTCCCGCTACACCCTGCAGCTCCAGAGGGTGGATGAGAGGTCAGAGCTCTCCTGATCAGTCCCTAAGGGCAGTGGTGACACTGGGGGTGGCAGAGAGAGTGAGCAGGAACTCAACCCCTCTGTGTGTAGGGTAGGAAACGTGAGGCAGTGGTGGGGCATATGGAACAGAAGGGAATGTGGAGAGCTGGAGCATTTGGCACCTCGGCATTGTGGTCTCAGTCTCTTCCCTCCTCGTCCCCAGGAGGCTCATCCAGTTTGGTTTGATGAAGGGCCTTATCCGGCGGCTCCAGAAATACCCTGTCAAGGTGGCCCGGGACGAGCGCAGCCACCCAGCCCGGCTGTACACGGGCTGCCACAGCTACGACGAGATCTGCTGCAAGACCGGTACGGATCCGTGGGACCCACGGGATCCTCTGCTCGGTGTGAGCCCCAGGGCCGGTGGGACACACGGGGGTGTCTGCCTGCCCACAGCTGTGCACTGCTCCTGGGTTCTTGCCCCTTTGGGAGCCTTCAGACTACAGGGAGAAGGGACTGTGGGCCAGGCTCTTCTCCCAGCCAGGCTGCGAAGCCCATATTGCCGGGGGCAGGGCTTGGGGAGTCCACCAGCCCTCTGACCCCCCACTGTCTTACTCCCTAGGCATGAGTTACAAGGAGCTGGATGAGCGCCTGGAGAACGACCCCAACATCATCGTGTGTTGGAAGTGACGCAGCGATAGCCCCCGCTAGAGCCGTGTCCCCCCGCTGTCCCCCGCTGTCCCCCCGCTGTCCCCCCGCTGTCCCCGCTGTCCCCGCTGTCCCCGCAGTGTCACCCACCAGGACACGTGGTGGCCGCTGCCCAGGACGCAGCCGCGCTCCTCGGGGTTGAACATGGAGGGGACAATGGCCAGGGTGGCGCTGGCATGGACGATGGGGCGGCCCCTGGGGGGACACAGGGTCAGGGACCCCGGGACCCCCCGGGGGGCACCGGTGACACAGGTGACATCGGTGACATCGGTGACATCGGTGACACTCACCTGTAAACCACGGCTGCGTCCGCCCCGAAGGCGCCAACCAGGAGGTCTGTGGGGACAGGGG